CTTGCGTGCGTATGTCGTGTTATGTTCGACATAGTCAGGTATATAAGTGCTGCGTAGAAAAAGCGCTGGCATGTGGTATAGTTGACAATGTTGCCCCGCAAGTCTCCACGAAGGAGCATGTGGATTGATAGGCCCATGCGCTGAGCGACTGTACGTGGTCAGTGCGGACAGTTCGGGCGAGCGCGATGGGTGTCTATTGGTATTTCCGGCATAAGATCGCCAGCCTCCATGTGATGGATTCGCAAGTGACCAATCAGGCCGATGCGCAGCATGCATACGTGATGGTAGTACGGACAAAAGAGGTTGGGAGATATGGAGGCCGTTATAGTGACGAAGCTACTGTTAGTAGCCGCGCTGCCGGATGATGAATTTGTATTCTGAGAGTAAGAGAGTTTATGGATGAGTGAGCTGCTCTTAGTGTGTCTCTATGCGCATGCAAAACGAATCGACATACGCGTTCCCATTCATGGTAATCAGTGCTAAAACGATTCGTTGAAGACCGAGGTTACTTTTTTTTCTGTGGCTAATCTTTTCTTTGGATTCTTTTAATATTTCATGAAAGTTCTGTCTTAGTATCCTGGGGACTTGGTCAGGACCCGTGTGGACACCGGCCCAGAACCTCCGCTCTGTCTTAGTCTCCATACAGTCAATCATGAATCAAGGGCCCTATTACAATGAACCGGGATATGCAAATCAACGTTCCCCTGATGCCTCTAAGCGTTACAATGACATCATCAAACACGAGACCTTGCGTTGTGCTGTCTGCGATGTCTTGGAACGAAAATATTACATTCCTGATGAGCTTTACGCGGTTTCAAAAGGAGCTTTTGAAAATTATCATGCATACTATCAGAGCATATGTGAAGCAAATTTAAGCTTATCTGGCCAGCCGATGAGTGACTCCCATGGCGGGCGACGTGGGGCCTTTCAGTACAACAACATTCTGCAACGCCTGTGTGCTTTAAAGGCCTCGTTAGGTAAATAAGTTACGCTGTCTGAAGGTCTTTCATCTCTGGTCCTGCTTTTATCATTCTTAAACTCGCAGTCCTTGCGCCATGGATGTCTGCATGAAATGACTTCCTGTGTTACTCCTACAACTGGCTTTACAGTTTTATCGACAACATTGTTCATTTGGACTTACTGTTCCCACATTAATGCCCTCCAAGTTTGCATCCTATAACTGTGCAGCATTTTGCTTGTTGACTACGATTCTTTACTCCATTTCCACCCTAGATTCGGGTTTAGGAAACTAATCAATGCTTTACTCATTTACAATTTTGTGGGAAATTTTTACTGAATACTTTTGTATCCACCTGCTTGGATTTCACCCAGGCCAAGATGTGCAGTAGATGTTATCGCGACTACTCTTTATTTCTTGTAGTCATTTTGCATAAACTTTTTCAGTATTTAAACATGCTTAATGTTTGCGTTCTAAAACGACTCCTTCTTCCAAAAAAGAGATGATCCAGGGCATTCATCATGCGCTGTTGTAGTAGACTCGGCGGTTTTCGGTGACAGTGGTGCAACGGTTAGCTGGTTGTGCTGAGTTATAACAAGGCAGAACTCATGAAACCGGCTACTCACCAAACGCGGACGCCTGCGTTTATAGCTGTGCGAAATCTAAACAAGTAACAATTGAAGGTAGGGCGATCGGGTTAAGAAACATGCTCGTCACACTATGCCTTGGTGCTCGATCTACAGTTTTCTATATCAGGCAGTCACATAGCGACTTTTACTGTATGGACTGAAGTGGAACCGACAAAGACAAGGGGGACTGGAATGGCCGTTTCTGGTTTATCAGCCTTCATCAGACAATCATCCCCCGTCCCAGGTGTGGATCACCCGCAATTAGAACCCGGTACTTTGACCCTAGCCTGCAACACTACCATTGCGCCACGGGCTGGTTACTTTTGTCGGTGGCGATCGGACTGCAGATTGAGCTCCATGGCACAATGGAAGGAGTGCCCTCCTTCAATCATGTTCGCGATTGCAACTGGCAAAAGCAACGAGCACGCGGTGCAGAGGTTGAGTGTTGTACTGCATGATCGAAGCGCTGGGTTCGAATCTCACATAATCCACACGTGGGATTGGGTTGACTGTCTAATGACGACTAATAACCCGAAAAACGCCATTCTGACCTCCATTATCTTTGCCGGTTCCACGTCAACACAAAGTATCACTTGTCCATCTCCATAGGCCGACGTTTTTCCGCGCTACTCGCATTCTAGGACGTTGTCCTTCGGACTTGAGGCCTGGATT